TCGAGTCCAAAGTCAAAGTGTCAGCAGGGCTGTACTCCCTCCAAAGACCCTGGGGAGACTCCTCTTGCCCCCTCGGGCTTCTGGTGGCTGCCGGCAACCCCTGGCATTCTTTGGTTTGAAGCTACATCACTCCGATCTCTATCGCCATTGTCACATGGATAGCTGCCCCGTGTGTCCCCATGTGGCCTTCTTGTAAGAACACCACCCTAATCCAGCATTACCTCATCTTAACTAATTACATCTGCAAATTGTTTCCAAATAATATCAAATTCTGAAGTAGCAAGGGTTAGGACTTTAACATATCTTTTTAGAGGACACAATTCAACCCCCCATACACACACCCTCCAGCATCATGGTCTCACTCTGCTTTTTCCTCATCTGCACCTCAAGCTCTGTCAGGAAGAATGCTCTGGAAAGGTGGCCTGGGAAGTTTGCAGGATCCTGGGATTGAGGCGATCCCAGAGTGTAAGATGGCAACTGAGGACTTATGAGCGCCCCCTTCCCGCCCCCCCCGCCCGAAGTTGAGATCACCCTCCTCCGAGCATCTGTGGAGGAGGCTATGGGGGCCTGGGCCCTGGGAGACCACAGGGGTGCGGGCCTCCGGGAGCCCCACGGAGCGTCCTCTCTTCTGACGGTAGCTCAGGCAGGGCCCAGGCCCACAGCTCCACTGGCCACCGTGACCCCCTTGCCAAGAGGAACGTTTCCAGAGGCTCAGAGCCAACCATGAGTCACAGCAGGCACCGCCCCACCCACCCTGCCTGAGAGCATGACACTCCTGCTCCACTGGCACTTTCACGGTTCCATGTCCCCGTGTCAGGTGGGGTAGGTGGAGGGAGACAGCCGCTCTGAGCTAAACGAATGCAGAGGACATGTCGGGCTCAACAGTCCTGAACTGGGAGGTTCTGAACACCCACTGGAAAGACGGGGCATGTGAGCTGCGGGCAGTGGAGAAGGTGGGTATGGTGGTGCCGGGATGGGCGCGCCAGAGACCGACGGATCTGCATTCAGGTCGGAGCCCCCTCTCGGCGCCAAGTGGGCCACGGGCTTTTGTTTGTTTTGTCCTTAAGTTCCAGGAATGCCACTTACTGACTCTGTGGCCTTGGGCAATTAATTGGCCCCTGTCGAGGTCTCGTTCCCTCATCTGTCAACTGGGGCAGGAATAGGTCCACCATAAAAGGCTGCAGGGAAGATTTGGACAAGATCACATAAGTAAAGACAAGTTAGCACCCACTCTGACCACCCTCACTAAATGGAAGAGAGATCTGAAAACAGGTGTTTGCCTCTAGCATGACCTCTGGGTCGGAGACCTCGTCTACTCACAAGTGGAGTCTTTGCACGGTGACACTTGACAAATCACTTTATCAGAGACATACATAAAGATTGATGTGCTCAACTTAAAAATACAGATAAGTCTATTAAGAATGGATAATACAATGGATTTTAATAAATGTTAGAAAAATGTTTTTAAAAAAAAGAAGATTGATATGCAAGGATATTTACTGCAGCATTACTAATAACAGCCAAAAACTGGAAACAATCCAAATAACCCAAAATAGGGAAGTGGTTATATGCCTACAGACCCACCGAGTGGAATACTATTAAATCAAAGGTCACCAGCAAAACTGCTCTACAGTGGAATCCCGTCCTGTAAACTGGGCATATCCCATCTAAATACACATCAAGTGGCATCAAGAATGGATCTCTGGCCCTGGCCAGCGTGGCTTCGTGGTTAAGCATTGACTTATGAACCAGGAGGTCATGGTTTGATTCCTGGTCAGGGCACATGCCTGGGTTACAGACTCCATCCTCAGTGTGGGGCGTGCAGGAGGCAGCCAATTGATGTGCCTCTCTCATCATTGATGTTTCTATCTCCCTCTCCCTTCCTCTCTGAAATCAATAAAATTACACTAAAATAAAAAAGAATGGATCTCTGTCCCTGGCAGATGTAGCTCAGTTGAGCTCTGTCCCGCACACCAAGAGGTCACCCATTCGATTCCCGGTCAGGGCACATACCCGGGTTGCAGGCTCAGTCCCCAATAGGGGTTGTGCAGGAGGCGGCGGATGGATGTTTCTCTCTCATCAATGTTTCTCTCTCTCTCTCTGTGTCTCCCTCTCCCTTCCTCTCTCTCTAAAATCAATAAAAACATTAAAAAAAAAAAAAGAATGGATCTCTGCCAGGCCCACCATGCTTCCATTCTCCCTGAGGACCACGTTTCAGGGCTTGAGGAGTGGGGTTCTGGAAACACAGGTCTCTTCCTGGGACTTCCGGCTTCCTAGGAGCTAGAGCTGCACCTACCAGGGTCAGTCTGCCCTCCTGGTGTCTGGGCTCCTAGCCTTAGGACCCCTGACCCAAAGATACCCCAACCTATTGGGCTGTCCTCTACTGAGAGTAAGTTTGATTTGGTTTAAACACAGTGGGGGCAGCCTTAAGAGGTACCCATAGGAATGTGCCAACAAGAGGAAAACTTTCATTTTTCTTCCTGCGTGACT